GAAAGAAAAAGATTAGAATTCTACTGGCCACAAGTAGCAAAACTAAATCACTTGACAATTGTGAGTTGCAGCTCTAAACCATGCAAAAAAATCCCAATGATTATGACCCTTGTATTCTTTCTATTTACAAATGAAATTTCATATCTCCTCTTAAATCTATTGTATAGACGATATCTGATTATCTCTCTTCTCTCTGCCCAGAATCAGATTTTAACTCAAACGAACTGCGTGTTGTTTAAAGAGGTGGTTGTTCTTAGAGGCATGCTTAAGAGATGGTGGGATACATGTTGAAACAATCCAATAGGCCTCTGCTGTGAATTTAGTTGCCTTAAGTAAGCAGATATAAATATTCAGGGTTTTATGAATTGATTGATACTTTTTTCTTTTTATTAAAATATTACTGCTTCCTGATGATGACTATGTTATTTTAATCAAAGCTGTCATGTAAAAATAATACTGTGGTACACAAAACATACTGTAATTAATGAGATTTTGGGTGGCGATGCCATTAAATATATTATATGTACAGTGATGGTGCACAGCTTGTCCTTGAACTCAGTCTTGTCCATGGAGTACTTGTGATTAACACATTCTCATGCACATGGTTCTTAAAGCATTCTGACTAATGGTTGAGCTAAATGTGGGAGAATTTAAATTTAAAAAGGAACTTGAAAAGTTGTTAATGTTGCAATTTAAACTGCTTTGAATTCTCAAATGTCCTTTCATTTTTCCTAGTTTTGAAAGGTATGATATTTTGATATTTACATTTTAATGCTAAAAGGTGTTTTCTGCAAAAACCAAAATAATCATAATCATAACATAAACTTAAACTTAACTTTAAAATCAAAATCTGTAAAGATGTGGTGGAGATTAGTAATGTTTGTCCTGGTTTTAAGGAAGATCTAGGATTGGATTGAAACAGGTATTTCAAGCTTTCTTGACAGATCCTGGCACACACTGGAAGTAAAGCCAGGTTGAGATATACAGTGGAATGGCTGCCCACTGGAAGAAATTGGGTGGCAGGACAGGCTCACTGGCATTGTGCCAACACACAATGTCACTTTCAACACAAAGGCAAAAGTGATACCATCACACTGGAGTGATGCTTTAGGATTCACCCAGACTCAGTTATGGTTTTGCACTGGAAGTGATGTTGCATTCCCCCCCCCCCCGGGCAAGTAGAAGAGCAGCAGAGAATTGGGGTGGGAGCAATGCCAGGAAATCTGTGGCTATAGTGGGAGACCTGGCTCCTCCACATGGTAATGAGGTGACAGAATGTTGAGGTGCTAGAATGGATTGCACTACCTCTGACAGCACTGTTCACAGTCCCCCTACATTAGTGATTCTCTGCTAGGGATGCCAGCCTCCAGGTGGGCCTGGGGATCCCCTGGAATTGCACCTCATCTCCAGACTACAGAGATCCGTTCCCCTGGAGAAAATGGATGCTTTGGAGGGTGGACTCCATGGCATTGTATTCCACTGAGGTCCTTACCCTTTCCAGGTTCCACCCCCAAATCTCCAGGAGTTTCCCAACCTGGATCTGGCAACCCTATCCTCCCATCCCTAGAGGGAACCTAGCAACCGTATTCTCTGTAAATGCAAAAGTGAACTGTATGTGAAGGACTAGACTGAAACCTTGTTGTACTAACTTGAGGTTTTCATATGGGGGGACTTTAAAAATATGGTTCTTTCCCCCCACCTGAAGTGGTACAACTCCTTTGATCACTTCTGTGTTCTTCCACCTCATTCTGTTGTACATGTTGCCCTGGCCCTGGTAATGGGAATGCCAAGAAAAGGCATTCAGGACAAACCTTACCATTCTGATCTGGCCAGCCTCACCCTCACCACCCTGTCCCATACCCATGAAATGTAACTGGATGTCCCTTAGCATTTTTAAGTTACTTGGCCGTGCACAGCCCTTAAACCAGAGTGGATTCCTTTGATGTGAAAAGCAAATCAAAATGGCCAAGGTCCTCTTTGCTGGAATCACTCATGAGAAGCTGGGAGTGAATAACAGCAAATGATTGTCTGGAACTGTGGACACTTCCTCTAGATAGAGAACTAAAGGAGATGCCAGGACCAGAGGCGGAAGGAGCTCTTGGTAGAGCCCAGACTGAGACTTACTGGTCTTCTGCTGGCTCCTGCTGTGCCCAGTGGCAACTGTGTGTTCAAAGAGATCAATGAGAATATATTTTTTTACCCAATAATAGAATAAATAGAGAAGGAGAAGAAAAGAGCAAGAGTCCAGTAGCACCTTAAAGACTAACAAAATTTGTGGTAGGATGTGAGTTATGAACTTTCATGAGTCACTCATGAAAGTTGCTACCCTGCCACAAATTGTGTCAGTCTTTAAGGTGCTACTGGACTCTTGCTCTTTTCTACTGCTACAGACAGACTAATACGGCTACCTGTCTTGATTTGTTTCCAGAGAAGGAGAGGCACTGTCTCAACAGACCTGGTTCACTATTTTTATCTATTCAAGTCATGACTTCGAACATTGCCCTGTAAACAGTAGAGCACAGATGATTCCCTTTGGCATTCTCATTTCCACAATATCTGTTCAGGCCTCTATGCAGCCTTATTTTTAGTTATGCTGCATATATCTGCTTAAGTTTCAGCTCAGCAGTTTAGTCCTCATTATGTCATTTTTGGAGCCCCAACTTGTCATATGTTATGGACCCAGGGAGAGAGAAAGAGAGACTGATGTCTGGGTGTCAATCCTCAAGCCACTTCTCCCAGGATAGTTCTGCAAAAATGGTCAGTAAAATTATTCCAAAATCGAGTGGTTTGAGAATTGCATTCTTGATCTCTCTATTAGAGTTTAAGTGTTGCTCAATTGCTGGGTACATCCTTTCAGATAATTGTATGCCATAGGCAACGGGCAAAGTCACTAATGCAATCGGAAGCATGATTGACAGAGTGTATTCCCACCATTTTACGTTGCCTTTCTAGTCTTAATAGGAGAACCTACGGGCAGAGCCTAGTAACTGATGCTGAGCCTGAGGCACAAGTTCAGCGGAGACTACAATGTGTCCATGGCGCTTAATTAACTGTTACTTCAAAGGGAACTGATATTTGCAGCAGTCGTGCCTAAATGGCACAGGGCTTTGTTCCCTCTGCTGTCATGGCAAAGAATGACTGAATTGGCTCAGTCCTCTCCCTGCAGCAGGTCTTTTCACGGCTAACTGACTGTGATCCCGGCCTTTGCTCCAGCCCAGCCACAGAGCTTTCCCCTTCTTAAATGTCCCGGCAGGAGGTTTTAACCCATATCCAGGCTGCAGCCTGCTCTATGTCTGACTTGAAAGAAACAGACCTGACATCCAAATGTAAAGTGACTGCTAATGTTGCATAAGCTCAAAATCAAATATGAACTACCGCCAGACAAATGTCAGTCTGTCAGAATAGCAATGCGGGTTTGTTTTTTGGGTTTTTATTTTTCCGGGAGGCATTAACAAGCTTGAAAGCCAAGCTCAAAATCTGAGCTGAACCTGGCAGATGGGACTGCAAATATAGTCCACCTTTGAACCCAAGGTGGTAGGTCCCTTCTGATTTTCTAACGCAGCTGATTTGTGTAGGTTGTTGTAAACTGTACAATTTAAACACATGAAGCTGCCTCATACCGAGTTAGACCTTTGCTCTATCCATGTCAGTATTGCCTACTCTTGAGTAGCAGTGGCTCTCCAGGGCCTGCTGTGGAGCTCTAAACTTCTACCACCTGATCCTTTTAACTAGAGGCCCCAGGCTTTGACGTCCTGCTGGCAAAGCAGATGCTCTTCCACTGAGCTATGGCTTTTTCAATGGGAGAGAATGCCTTCCATTCATTTAAGAGACTGCTTTCCATTGAACTGCTTTTGGCTCTGTTTGTGCATCAGGATAATTCACAAACATTCAGGTCCCTCCTTCTTTTCATGAGGAGCAACAGCTCCACATTAATTCTACTGTAGCTCATGCCTGAATTGCTTTCTGTTCTACAGATATGGGAAGCAACTTTCATGTGCTAAGAGCAGATCATGAGGACATTCCACTGAAGGATATGTTAGCTTTATCCTCTGTCACGGTGCTACCTTGGTTGGTAGAATCCACCCCTCTTTGCCACTGGCTGGCCTGATCAGGGATTTTGTGTGCAATGTGCTGTGCACACAGGACTGTGTTGTGGACATGAAAGGTAAACAACAGTCATTCATTTATATAGTAGAGTTTACCCAGGGACACTATTGGGATGAAGCCTGAACTTGCTTCTTGCCCTGATAATCCTATCTGCATAGCCTCAACCCTCCATCTTCATAGCACCAGTGACAGTTCTGATTCTTGGTTATGTAAGAGTGCAATGGAATCTTGATGATCTGGTGGATAGATATTGGACATCAGGTTAATAATTTGTCACATTTTCCCATGATGGTGAAACATGCAAGAGAAGAGAAGAGAAGAGAAGAGAAGAGAAGAGAAGAGAAGAGAAGAGAAGAGAAGAGAAGAGAAGAGAAGAGAAGAGAAGAGAAGAGAAGAGAAGAGAAGAGAAGAGAAGAGAATGGATTTGTGCCCGGCTCTTCACTCAGAGTCTCAGAGCGGCTTACAAACTCCTTTCCCTTCCCCTCCCCTCCCCACAACAGACACCCTGTGAGGTGGGTGGGGCTGAGAGAGCTCTGAGAGAAACTGCTCTTTTTCAAGGATAGTTCTGACAGAACCATGGCTTGTCCAAGGTAATCCAGCAGGTGCGAGTGGAGGAGTGGGGAATCAAACCCGGTTCTCCCAGATTAGAGTCCACGCACTTAACCACTACACCACTTGAGATAGTCTCAAAGTTCCAATCCTCTGATGTTCCAGAATTCCAGGCAATGAACAGCTACCTATTCTCCACCACATTAAAGACTAAATATATCTGCATGGTTATGTATGCTTAAATACCTTCATAAACAAGCACAAGAGACACAGCTAGGATGTTTTTTTTTAACTATATCATTGACTTTTCAGATTGTTTTTAAGATGTTTTTTAAACTTTAAAGGCAACACTGATACTGCGTTCCAATTGGTAAAACCGAAAATCCCCTTCAAATATAACCGGCCCGTAGAGGAATGGCTGCAGGAAAAAGGTAACAGTTGTTAAAACTTTCATTTTAAATCCATTTGATTCTAAACTCTCATTTTTAAAGCCTGCAAATAAATGTTTCTTAAATTCTTAATCACCTGCTGCGTAAATGGCTCTTTTAATTTCATTATAATTTGTGTCAACTTCCGCCTGCCATATGTTAATAAATCATGCTATAACACATTGCTATTAAAATGAAGTTAAAGGGACAAATTTCTAGACTTGTTATCCAACAAAAGAAAAAAAATCAAAAGTTGCAAAAATTAAGATGCCACTTCAAACAAAACAACAACAACGATATGGATTGTAGCAATTTAACCACAGTATGCGCTTTAACAAAAAATAATAATAAACATCTATTTTGCTAGGATCAAGGTGGTCTTAAAATTCATGTGATATCTACTTTTCCCCAGATGTTTTTCCCTTTCAAACAGTGTTATAACTGTGGCACTCTCAATCAGTTTAGTGTAGCTGAATCTCTTCTTGGTCCCGTCAAACTAGGGGAAAGTAATTTTAATCATAGCATATAAATGACAATGGTGGGTTAACTGTGGCTGTTTCTAAAGCTTCACAGTCACCCTGTTCCAGGAATTCTGCTCAATCTGGAAAGCTTCACCCTGCATGCAGTTCCTTATGGAATCCTGCTGCACATAGTAATGAAGGTGACTCATTCCAATTGTCAGTATGGACCTGTAGATACATTTCTGCAACACACTATGTTCATACAGAAATTGTACAGTAATGATCCTGTTTGGATGGCCATTCTGTCTTCCTGGACTGGCTACCCACACCTTTGCATGTGCACTTTTAAATGCAAATGTGAACCTCCACATTCAGGGATAATAAATCTCAGAATACCAGTGCCTGAAGGCAGCATCAGAAGACCTCAGACTCTATGCCCTATTGTTGTTTCTCCAGGGCAGCTGTTTGGCCATTGTGTGAGACAGGATGGTGGACTAGGTGGACCACTGGTCCGATCCAGCAGGGCTGCCCACTCTTGCATATGTATATCTCATTTAAGCATTTTTTCAGATGTAAGCCAAAAAGATCCTGCAGTTACATACTATGAAACCCCACTGATTTCCAGGAGTTATATATATCTCTCAGTAAGCAATACATATAAGTATGTGAATAAGTTCCAATGTGAATTTAAACCAATGTGCATTGGTTTAGACGAGCCTTCCACATGTGCTTTGTCTTGTCTGAGCAGCATGTCTCAAGTAAGACTTGTACTTGGGTGTATCCTAGAAGTTAGGTGTCTCCTATTGATTTCAGAGGCCAGGATCCAAAGAGTTCTGTTAATGCAGGTGAGTATTTCTGGGCATACACCATTGTTTTCTACCTGCTCAACCTGCATTAAAGCTTTCCTGAAAGTTCCCTCTCTTTTGAGAATTGTTTATGAGCAGAAGTTTAAAAAAAGAACCTACAGAAACAACTCTGAGCCTGTCTTTTGGATCATGGCCAACTGGATTTTGACTTCCCTGTGTGTGGTTTTTTTCTGGCGTGCAACCACTGAATCTAAAGATTTATTTTCAAATATTGTGTGTTGCATTGGCTGTTAGAGCCATCCCACCCAAGTTGACCCTTTTAAGTTCACAGCTTGTGGGGCATGCACAGGTGGCCCCTCCTGAAAAGAGCAGGCACTACACGCACCTGCCCTGCAAGCCACAAATTTGCTTTTCAAGCAGGGCCACAGACAACTGTTGGGGTGGGGCTTTCCCCCACCATCCAGCTGGCCAGTGTCTGCGGGGAGCTTGAAAAATCAGGGGATCCCCCACCCCCACCTGGGGACTGGCATCCCTAGGGTGAGTTTTGGGCTGAAGCATTATTCCTCGATTAGCAGTTTTCACAAATGCTTTCACAAAGAGGGGGAGATGTACAAAGAATAAACCATCTTCTTTATTTTTCCATTGCTGAGCTGAACCTGTTTGTAGCTACAGCCAGTCCAAAAACTCCAAGACTGTAGTAGAACTTGGGTAATTGCAAGACAAATATGCTAAACTAACACTGTTAATGCTAAAATAACTCTCTAATTGGGTTTTGTGAGTATTTCTGGGCATACACCATTGTTTTCTACCTGCTCAACCTGCATTAAAGCTTTCCTGAAAGTTCCCTCTCTTTTGAGAATTGTTTATGAGCAGAAGTTTAAAAAAAGAACCTACAGAAATAACTCTGAGCCTGGCTTTTGGATCATGGCCAACTGGATTTTGACTTCCCTGTGTGTGGTTTTTTTCTGGCGTGCAACCACTGAATCTAAAGATTTATTTTCAAATATTGTGTGTTGCATTGGCTGTTAGAGCCATCCCACCCAAGTTGACCCTTTTAAGTTCACAGCTTGTGGGGCATGCACAGGTGGCCCCTCCTGAAAAGAGCAGGCACTACACGCACCTGCCCTGCAAGCCACAAATTTGCTTTTCAAGCAGGGCCACAGACAACTGTTGGGGTGGGGCTTTCCCCCACCATCCAGCTGGCCAGTGTCTGCGGGGAGCTTGAAAAATCAGGGGATCCCCCACCCCCACCTGGGGACTGGCATCCCTAGGGTGAGTTTTGGGCTGAAGCATTATTCCTCGATTAGCAGTTTTCACAAATGCTTTCACAAAGAGGGGGAGATGTACAAAGAATAAACCATCTTCTTTATTTTTCCATTGCTGAGCTGAACCTGTTTGTAGCTACAGCCAGTCCAAAAACTCCAAGACTGTAGTAGAACTTGGGTAATTGCAAGACAAATATGCTAAACTAACACTGTTAATGCTAAAATAACTCTCTAATTGGGTTTTGTGAGAGATGAGGGGCAATAGATTCCATTAAGAGAATTCATTTGTAGGGTAGTAATACTCATGAGACAATTTTCAGAGGGGTACATGAGTACATGAGCTGGTTTCACCTGGATGTGGGAGTTTAAGACATGAAAAATGTAAATGAACAAATCAAGAAGAAATTTGAGAGAAACGTGCTAGCATTGAATCCAGGTGTAATGGACAAAATTGGAGTTTGTTCATGGTGAGAATGAACCTGACTTATTCTTAGGGCAGCATGCTGCTTCTCCCCTCTCTTCTTGTGAGACGTGGAGCTGAACTGGAGACTTCCTAGTTCAGGAAGACCTTGATTTAACCTTTTATCTTGACATCCGAATTTGGATGCAGTAAGAGATTGGGGTTTGGAACAAACAAGTCTCAGTTTAACTCTAATTTAGAACCTCAGTTTGTGGTCAAGAAATAAAAATCAATTTGTTGTAGCATCAAAATTAGGACAACACAGCAGACTGGGGTTACATCCAAGACTTCCAAAGGAGGAAATCTTTCATCTTGGCTCCACATAGGAGAGGAGGAGAAGGGTAGCACATGACCCTGAGAATGACCCTGGGTTCATTCTTTATTATGAGCAAACCCTGTTTAATTCATGACAATTGAATATAGCTTCTGATACAGATCTCACTTTGCTACAAACTAACTAGGTGATCCTAGACAAGAGCTTTCTGCCTTCCATTGGTGGAACAGGAATAATAATCCTGAGCTACTTTACAGGGTTGCAAGAACTGAGTGGAAGACCTTTAAACAATCTAAAGCAATCTCACACAACTTGAGACCCACCATGCCCAGCCCAGCCTAGCCGCTGTATATTGTGGCCTACCCCAGTTAAACTGAGAGGTTTACTAACCCCTGATGCACTGCCATTCATGGCTGGTAGGCTGCATTTGTTTTGGTGGGTTATAAAGTGTGCAGACTCGGCCATGATATTTTTACAATAATTCACCAAAGCTGGCTGAGTCTTGGGAATCTGTCCAGAGCTGGTGAAAATTAAGCATTAAACTTTAGTAGACTAAAAAGTGGATAACTTTGTTTTGCTAATCTCAAACTGATAAAGTCCCTTTAACACTAAAGACCACAATAGCCTTGCTTTCGTTCAAACCAATGCATGTCTGACCAATGCTTTGATGTCTGAGGAACCCATCTTTGTTGTGTACGATTTTATTTTCCACTTTTGAGTTTGGTCTGCCATTCCATTGCTTCCTCCAAGCTTAAAATAAGCATGCCAAAGATTTTTTTTTTAAATGAATATGAATTCTGAAATGTTTTTGCCATTGTATGGGTGATGACTGTGACTACAACAACAACAACGATGGTGCTTTGTTAAAAGACAATCAAAGGAAAGCGGGGGGCGGGGTGTCTGTTTCTGAGATCTCAAATGCTTCCTGTAGGCAAAGGAGTGAACTGGGTGGATACAGATAACCTCACAATCTGTTGTAAGCATGCTATAGTATTTAGTCATATCATGCAAGGAGACAGACAGTAGAGTCTTCCACAATATCAAAATTATTATTAAAATGGTATTTTTGATTATGCGGTTAATGTGGGAAACCGTGGGGGGATGCCCACCCATGTACCAGCACATCATTTATTCACTCATCTGCACTCACCTGTCCATCCAGCCATTCATTCATTTCCTAATGCATTGCGAAAGTCTTATGTCAGAAGACCTCGTAAAGATGATGAGTGAAAGGGTAGATAGCTATCAAAATGGAACACGATAAATTGATGGATGTCTAGATGGATGGATCCATCAAAGAGACAGCACAGAGAGCAGCTATCTGCCAGATATAATAGAGGTACAATGGAATCATTTACAATTAACACAATGGGTACAATCCAGAGGAAGTTAGGTGTCCTTCAATCCCAGTGCAATCAGTAGCCCTTAAGTGCATAATTAAGTGCTTAAGTGTCTTTGATTTCAAAGGGACCTAAGTGCATGGGGAGGAAATTAAAAGTACTTTTGAAAAGGATGTCACAGAGACACGCAGAGATAATAGCAATATGTATCAAATTAATTTACAACCGGAATGGGATTACAAAGCACATAGCAAGTCGAATTAGCCCATTAATGCTGCAATCCTGTGCATGCGTACCAGGATATACATCCCATTGAATGCAGCAGTATTTACTTCTGAGTAAACATGATTGTGTTGTGTGAACTTTTTAAAAAAACTGTACCTATATGAATAAAACA